ATCAACAGGTTATTAATACGTAGCTGTCTCTCAAATCGGTCCACATTGACTTCATGCATTTCTAATCAACTCATTTATATTTTCTAAGACTAAAGATGGTGAGATTGAAAGATGTCGTGATTGTGTCTGAAATGTGACTTTCTGAGTGTGAGAAACGTCCACTTTATTAAACGTGTTGAAACTCAGTTTTCGGACGTATCCGCACTGTGTGTAATGCTTCTAGTGTAACACTGACCTTGTTTGATTAAAAGGTGGCGTCCATGACTTCCTGTCCCCTGATTGGTCGGTCCCACTCTTCTTCTTTCGTCTTCCTCACGTCACTCTTCTGGTGCCTTGGTTAACTCCTGTAAATGGTGAATGTTGTAAAGTACACATGCTGATGAAAAACAATCACCATAGGGACATACATGTAAAGGTATTAGTATTGAAGATGATATAATATTGAATGGGCTGCGGAGCTTTTCTAGTGCTGACCATCTGTTTGGGCAGCTTCGTGGTGTTCTCTAATTATAGACCTTTTGGATGTTTTCTGGACGGTAGAATTTGCAAAGATGTATCCAGTGTCTGCAGCCTTTTGGAAATAAATGTAGTTTAAAGATCTCAACTTGTTTAAACGCTAGTTACTTCTGCATCATGCAGTGAAACTATCCAACCCAGTCTCACGGCATGTTATAGTCACGACATGTAATCTATTGATTCGTGTTCACCAACACGATTTCCCCTTTTTTTCGTGTCACACAGAACGATTTTAAAAGCAATGCATTTCTATTGGTTGTATGTTTCGTGCCTGCAGCACGTCTTTTTGTCGGGTCGGGTCTTGGAAGACCGGAAGCTGTGGGGTTCATAAAAACATGTGCTTACTCAATATCTTTCCCTAACCCCATCCCTTTTATTTTAAATTGTATAATATCAGAGTTTTGTTGCCGTCTGCGAGGAAAATAAATGGTTCAGAGCCTCAGAATACTGACATCTCTATTTTTTAAATCTCTTTTTCCTTCTAATTTGTTATTATTTACGTTGCTTTTAAAATCGTTCTGTGCGACACGAAAAAAATGCGAAAATTGTGTTGGTGAACACGAATCAATAGATTAATTTCGTGACTTTAAAACAACTTTTAAAAGGGTTTTTATAAGGTCTTTGTAGGGCTATGTTTATGGAGTTTTTGTATGTGTTTTTAAACACACGCAGCCCTACGCTCTTCCATAACCTAACCCCGCCAGTGCCTCGGGTTTTAACTCCTCCAGTCCTCTCCTTCCCAACAACTTTCAAGGAACTTGATCTTTGGTTTTTACTGGTTTTATATGGTTTTAGAACTCCTCCTGGAAACGTATCGCTCGTGCCTGATCTGCAGTAGCCCCTGTCCTCGGCCACTTTATCTTGTTCATCATCTTCTACTCGTTTGTATTAGTTGCACTGGCTATGTTCACCTTTCAGAGGAAGCCTTGTTTATGTTCACCCTTCCCAGTACCCTACTTTTAACATTGATGTAGTTGTTATAATCCTTAATAACTAATAGATCTGATGACGCAAAACAAAAAAATAAAAACAAAAAATTCCTAGTTTCTATTTTATTTTTATTTCATAAAAAGATTGTCATCAGATGTTACCTTGATTGTCTTTCTTTAACTTCTCCTTTCACCACTTTCTTTTATCCTATATGTGTATCTCTCTCCCCTGAGTCACTTCCTGTCCCTTTAAGGATTGTTGCTCCGCCTCCTGATGAGGTCACAATGGACTGGGCCAAACCCAAAACATTACAAACATTTAATTGATAAAGTTGTGCCAAGGGACGGCTCGGACTCACTCTCCTTTTATCCTCCTGAAGAAGCCTCTGCGGCGAAACGTTGAGGAAACCCCCTCTGTTGTGGAAATAATTATCATAAGACGCCAATTAGTAACATACAGGACAAACCTCGATGTCTGTTTACCTTCTTTAAGGACACAGGCGGCTTAGCCAATAATGTTATTGTTCCCATTCTGTGACCGGTCAATACTGGGATACAGATGGTCTGTGTTGTGGGTACACTGGGACACTTCCTTCTCTGTATTTGTGGACTCCAAGGTAAAATCTTCGAGGTCATAAGTGTCCGAGGCAAGTAGCTCTGTGTTCCCACACTGTTTAGGCTATCTCCTCAAATATGTTGTTTACTCTCTGCGAAACCAGTTAGATGGGCTGGCAAGAGAGAGGCTCTCCAGAATTGACGTGGCAACTCTACCGTGGAGTCAGAACCTCTGACTCTTGGATTTGTGATGTGAATACTCTGGTACCAACTCCAAATAAATCACAGTGGTTTGACATCAAAGCTCCGACTCTTCCCGTGTCTCCTTCCTGAGTCGGTGACTCCACTGCATGTTACACAGAAGTTTCCTCTACACCCTCCTCTCCCTCTACTCTTTTAAATACCTTTTTGTTCTTTTAAAACGTAGGCTACTTTTATCCATTTATTTTAAAAAAATGTGTTCTCTCTCTCTCCCAGCGCAGCGCCCCTCCAGATCTGGCGCCCTAGGCCAGGGGTTCCCAAACGTTGCCATGCCAAGGACCCCATATAGCATTATCCTCTGGCCGGGACCCCCCTGTTGCAAAAATGTTTTCAAATGATGAGTACATTATGATGGAAAATATGACAAATGAATCATACAGCTTAATACATTTTCTTAATATATATTTGTATTAATAATTAATAATCAGTTATTCTTCAAAACATTTTTTGTATTTATCTTTTGTTTGTCATTCACTGCATTGATTGTGTCTTCTGTTATAAACATTCTTAACACAATATTAAACAGTAATATCAACAGTAAACATATTTTTAAAGCATTTTTAAAGTGATTTCTGTCTTTATAATATTATATAATTTTGAACAGTAATATGAACAATTAACATATATTTGTAGTATTTTTGAAAGCTACTTATATATAATATTCAACAGTATTATTAACAATAAACATATTTATATTCATATATATAAACAACAATATGTGCTACATCCGTGCTCTCATCCAGCTGCAGAGCGAAATATTCACTAGCTCTCACTATGGAGTCAGATTTGGGTCAATATTCTGGCGCGCAAAACAAGCTACTCACGAGCGGAAAATGTGCTTTTACACGCGCATAAAATGACCCTCGCGCGCAGACAGCCCTCTTGCTCGCTCGCGGGAGAGTCAGCCTCACTCGCTCGCGGAGTCTGTCTGCGCGCGAGGGAAACGTTTCTCACACTTCGGGGCGGAGCCACTGGACTTTGCTTGACAGCTGCCAGGAAGCCCGGAGTTGCCAGGTTTGATAAATGCCTGAACTATCAATTCATTTGATATAAAAAAAAATGACACATTAATTCTAGGAGTGTAATACTTTTACAAACACTATAGTAATAATATGCATTCACTATGACAATATCATGCTATTACTATGAGTGTTCTATAGTGTGTTCAAAAAACAACTACAGAAACACTATATATTATACTGTATACTATTTAAAATAATATAGGAATACTACAAAGATCTAGATACATAGTATTACTATTGAAATATTATAGGGCTACTATAGCTAATAAAATGGCACAACAGAAAAATCTATAGTAATACAATAGCTGGTGAAAAATACTACAGAACACTACAAACTTACTATAGGACACTATACAACTCTTATAGTATACTATAGTAATACTATAGTTCATTTATAGTTCATTTCGTAAGGGAGGTGCGCACAGCAGACAGTAGCTAGCAGTTTGACAGATACAGCTCTCTCAAAAATATATGGTTTTATATCAAGTTAATTGATATATATATATATATATTAGCTGTACACTTTACAAATATAATAGTTTTTTATGGACAACTTTACCATTCAATCTCGTCCAACTGATCTTGCAGCTGTCACTCCTCGGCTCTTGATAGTTCAGGAATTTATCAAAGCTGGCAACTCCAGGTTTCCTGGCAGCTGTCAATCAAAGTCCAGTGGCTCCGCCCCAAAGTGTCAGAAACTTTTCACGCGCGTGCAGACAGACTCCGCGAGCGAGTGAGGCTGACACAAAGGACACAAAGAGGGCTGTCTCTGCTCGCGAGGGTCATTTCATGCGCGTGTAAAAGCACATTTTCCGCTGGTGAGTAGCTTGTTATGCGCTCTAGAATATTGACCCAAATCTGACTCCATACACACTTGCTCTAAAAGCTGAGCAGATACTCAGTTTCACTCTCAGTAGCGGCAGCTCGATTCTGATTGGCTTGAAGGGCGGTCGTGTGATTTAAAAACAATAAAATAAAATATTAATAAATAAAAAATATTAAAAGTTTGGCATCAAAGGACACAGATTGATAGATATGCAGATATTAATAACATCCCCACTTTGAAAAACACTGCCCTAGGCGACCGCCTAGTTCGCCAGTGCCAAGGGCCGGCCCTGTGTGGGAGGGTCTCCTTCAGGGGCTTCTAACCTGTGAGTTTTTAGACCGTTTTGAAACCATCATTATAATCTTTGCACTGTTTCCTTCCTTTTCCCCTTTAACCCTTTGTGCCCCCTCCCCAATTGCTGTAATTGTTTATTTACCATTTACTGTGTTTTTATCTCCCTGTTACTTCCTCCAGTCTTCCATGTTATCTTCCTTTACACATTTTATTAATTAACCAGTACCTGCCAGTGCAACTGCATTTGTTTTATTTAAATACTTTCTCTGCCTCTTCCCATCACCTCCGTAGGTGCCACAATTAGTTTCCTGTGGATGCGTTTATCGGCTGTGATTTCCCCCCCCTTTCCTCTCCTCTTTCTCCACAGCAGTATGAACACACCCCTCTCCAACCGTTTTATATCACTGGCTCCTTCCCCTGCTGGCGGGAGGGGGGGACGTAAAACTAGCTATCCCCCCGCCCTGCCCACGCAGCCAGCTACATCACTTCCCACCAGAACTCCATTTACTCACCAAACAATATTTTAGACTCCTCCAAGCCATCCACCACTCACAAATAATCAACTACACCTTCACCAATACCTTCCCACAGGGGATGATGAAAAAGGTACACGGCTTAACAGCATTCATCAAACCCGCTTCACCCAACAGTATGCACAATAACATGAACATACTCAGACACCATTCTGACCAGGTTATTGCTGTGGAGCTGGCTCACCTCCCTCCCTTTAACCAGGCTGCCTTTGACAGCTCTGTCCAATGGGGTCGGGCGAGGTATGCCCGCACTCAGGCCCTCTTCCCTTTCCACCTTGAGGGACCTCCTAACCAGGGGGCCCCCAACGGAGGAGGGCCCCCCAGCGACCTCGTTCACCCCCTGTGACTTTCCTCCTCTTCTTCCTGCTCTTCATCCACCAGCAGCTAATCTATCCCTCCATAATTATTACTCAGCTCAGCCCCCTCCCCCCTCCTCCCCCTTTTGCTCAACTTCCTATTCCCTCAACTCACCCTTCTAAACCCTACCCTGTCCCTAATCCTAAACCTAAGGTCTCCCTTCCCTCGCCTAATCCTAATCTCGTCCCAAGACCCTAACCCAACCTCACTCTCCTTCCTGCCTCATCTCCCTCTTCCTCCTCCCACCATTACCTTACTCCCCACCTGGCCAAAATACAAACCCCCCACTAACCCCCCTTCTAAACTGACCCCTCACCTCTATTCTTTCCCTACCTCTCCTCCTACTTCCTCAGGCCTCTGTGCGTCGGGGGGGAGGGTTGTGGCGGGGGGGCCCGGGGTGCTTCCTCAGCCCCTGCCTCAGCGCACTCTCAGAAGCCGAGTGCAGGTTGAGATCCATCCGCTCCCTCGGACCGTACTCGACCGTCTGGGAGCCGATGGGACTGGGTCCTTGATCTGCCCCTCCGTCTTTCCTTCCTCCCCTCCTTCTTTGCCACCCTCCCCACAGACAGCAGATACCCCCATAATACAGACACCTACCTCGCTTTCCCATCTCACTTCCATCCCTTCACCTCCCTCTCCACCCTCCATACATTCACACAGCAATGTTGCTCTCCCCTGCAGTAACACTATCTCCTCCTTTTCACCTCCAGATCCACACAACAACCAGCAGAGGGAGCCAGAGCTGTTTGCTGTGGAACCCCTGGAAAGCACACTGAGCCCTGAGGTGGATGTAGACTTAATGCCAGCCAACTCACTACAGCAGTTGAAGGACTGCTTAACAGAGATTAAATCCTGGCTGAGCCAAAACTTCCTCACCCTCAATGAGAGCAAGACCGAGGTCATCTTTTTTGGACCTCGACCTCCAGCCTCTCCGGTTGATATTCTGGGCTCTCTCAATAAAAACATCCTCCCCTCTGTCATGAACCTTGGAGTGACCTTCAACAGCGCTTTTACATTTGATAAGCAGATCAGCATCGTAGTCAAGACCTGCTTTTTCAAAATACGACTATTGGCTAAGACCAAGTCGTTTTTATCTTTTAAAGAGCTAGAAAGGGTTATTAACAGGGCTGCACATAACTGGTGCGCAGGTGCGCATGCGCACCTCCGCCAAAAAAAGAGCACCGTGTCATTTGAAAAAAGGCGCATTTGCGTACCAACATTGAGAGAGAGAGAGGGAGAGAAATAAGAGGGAGAAGAGAAAAGAGAAAAGAGAGAAGAGAGAAGAGAGAAGAGAGAAATATATTTGCGAGTTGAACCTATGATATGAACTCAGAGCCGGCCCGTAGCTCTGGCGTAATAGATGTTCGCCTCGGGCGCCAGATTTGGGGAGGTGCTGCGCTGGCAGCTATGGGAGGGAAAAAACCATTTTTGACCGTTGGGGCTCATCCTAATTTTCGGCCTTGATGTAACAATATTCACAATTAAGTAAATGTAACACCCTTTTCACCCCGGTTACACGTTTCATTTGCCCTGAACGATGGGCGCTGTAAGTTATGAAAATGGGGGATGTTGGCTTATCTGGCACCCGCAGCTCAAAGCCAAAATGCGAGTGAGCTAGGGAGAGAGGGAGGGTGCACCGGTACCAGCGCTGTTGTTATTAGAATCTGGTGCTAGCTGCTCTAGCGGATATAAGAAGAAGATGTTTCTACAATAATGTGGAGGGAGAGTCCTCTCCAGTCAGACTGAGAGGCTGATAACTACAGATCAGTGAGGTAAAGGACTCTGAGTGTTTAGATAGTTCACTTTAGTCTAAGTTCAAACGGTTTGGTCACAATTTATGTAAACACATATTTCCAAGGCACTCCTTTATAATTATTGGGATAAACAGGTTTGAAATCATTCCAATGTATACTATAGGACAGTAAACCAGACATATCCTTTAAAACTGGAGAGATACAAACAAATGCATAAATAAATAAATGTTAAGGTAAAATAAGATATGAATGAACAACAAAAATAAAATAAGTTACATCCATTTGTTATTGGCTATGGTAGGTTATTGGTTATGTTCACATACTTATTTGATTACATCCACTTGTCTAAGATGACAACAGAGACTTTCGACCCAAACCCAGCTGTTGACTTGTGGATGCAAGCAGCTAATCACAGACTCAACCAGAGAGAAAGAAGTAGGCCTACATCACCAGCTACCATGTCTGACAGAGAGGAAGACAGTGAGGAGAACAGTCAGGAGGGTAGTGATGACAGCTTGTAGGATTACTGGTCGTGCTAATGTTGTCTTGTGTTCACCTCTGCATGTGTGTTCTGTGTTCACCTCTGCATGTGTGTTCTGTGTTCACCTCTGCATGTGTGTTCTGTGTTCACCTCTGCATGTGTGTTCAGTGCCGTGTGTCTGGCAAATAAAGTCAAGACCCCCTCAAAAGTTACGGTTTATTTCATTTTAAAGATGAGCACCAAGCAACATCTCCAGGTGCTCCTTTGAGAACCAGGGCAAAAAAGTGATGTGCACCCCTGGTTATTAACGCCTTTGTTACCTCGAGGCTGGATTACTGCAACGCTCTGTATGTGGGTATGGACCAGGCCTCAATTAGACGCCTGCAGCTAGTTCAGAACGCAGCTGCACGTCTTCTGACTGGCCATAAAAAGCGTGACCACATCACCCCAATTCTGGCCTCACTGCACTGACTTCCAGTTCGGTTCAGAATAGATTTTAAACTCCTTTTATTTGTTTTCAAAGCCCTAAATGGGCTGGCTCCGGCCTATATAGCCGAACTCCTCCATCGCTACACCCCAGGCAGAGCCTTAAGGTCTGCTGATCAGCTGCTGCTGGTAGTGCCTAAGACCAGGCTTAAAACCGAGGGCACCGAGCCTTCGCAGCGGCTGGCCCTAGGCTCTGGAACACTCTGCCCCTCCATGTGAGGTCGGCCCAGACCCTGGGGGCTTTTAAATCTACTCTTAAAACACACTTCTTCTCTCTGGCCTTCTGGGCTTCTCTTATCAAGAATAACTTTTACCCAGGACCGTTTCCCTCTCTAACCTCTCAAGGTTTTATTAGAGGGAAACGGTTTGCAGAGTGGCTTAGACAGGCCGGGGAGTGTTACGATTCGTAGACACAGCGTACCTCACTATCCCTCATCAACTTCCAACTAAGGCTCCAGTGGGGACCTTGTTCCCTGAGTGTGCCTCTCCACCTATGTTTCTTACTCTCTCTCTTGCTACCCTTTGCCCTCAACCTATTCTAAGGGAGTGCTTGTTCTTCCGTCTGTCTGTCTGTGTCTGTGTATTCTCTTGTTCCGATTAACCCAGCCAAATCTTTCTTCTTGTTTTGTATCTATATCTACGCCGGGATCCGGAGTCGAGGCTGATCCTCTTGCTGTAGTCCTGTGTCTTGGATCCTCTATCCTGAGTTCTGGATTAAGTCGTGGACTTCGGGTCGTGGCTGAACCTGTCTCTGCGGTCCTGCCTTGGGTCTCGTCATGCTGCTTCCCTGATGGCTTCCTCAGGATTGTAGTTGACATCCTCGTGGATTCATCTTCTTATTACAGACACATGCATTTCCTAACATTCGGTCTATATGCTGTAAAATGTATTATCTCTTGGATTTACACACGGCATCTATTGCACGTCTGTCCGTCCTGGGAGAGGGATCCCTCCTCTGTTGCTCTCCCTGAGGTTTCTCCCATGTTCCCTTTAAACTGTGGGTTTTCTCTGGAAGTTTTTCCTTGTACGATGTGAGGGTCTACGGGCAGAGGGTCTAAGGACAGAGGGTCTAAGGACAGAGGGTCTAAGGATAGAGGGTCTAAGGACAGAGGGTCTAAGGACAGAGGGTCTAAGGACAGAGGGTGTCGTTTTTCTCATACTGATATTCTGAAGAATCTGTGCTGTTGTATTTGCTGTAAAGTGTCTCTACTGTAGGCTATTTTTATCTTATGTACAGCACTTTGGCTCGACCAAAAATCGTTTATAAATGTGTTATATAAATAAAACTTGATTTGATTTGATTTCATATCAGTGATGATGAAAGGCCCACTGAAAGTCAGTTTGACTTCAAGCCTAACATCTGAGGCATCCACCTCCCACTCCACAGGGGTCTCTGCAGTGGCACTGGGCTCCCCCACACGCCCGGAACCTCACACACATCCCAGAACCCACAAAACACTGCAGGTATGGTCGTGGAAGTTGCTGAAGAGGACCCTCATTATCGGGGACTCTAATCTCTCCCGCATCTCCCCTTTACAGACCCCCACCTTCAGATAGATAGTTTTTCAGGTGCAAAATTCCATCACATAACCTCGACTTTCAATAAACTTCCCCCATTTCACAACACCTCAGAAGTCATAATATCAGTAGGGCTCAATAATGGACAATACATTTATTCTGAAAGAAAGGAGTGAGATGTGCCAACGTGACGGCCATCTTGGTGTGTTGTGCGAGACGGGAGAGGTAGTTCATTGCCGAACTACAGCACGGTCACATGACTTCATGTCACCACCGCTAAGCTAAAGGTGGCTAATGTTGGGCTATAAAGGAACTACAGCACGGTCACATGACTTCACTTATCCACCGCTAAGCTAAAGGAGGCTAATGTTGGGCTATAAAGGAACTACAGCACGGTCACATGACTTCAAGTCACCACCGCTAAGCTAAAGGAGGCTAATGTTGGGCTATAAAGGAACTACAGCACGGTCACATGACTTCACTTATCCACCGCTAAGCTAAAGGCGGCTAATGTTGGGCAATGAAGGAACCACAGCACGGTCACATGACTTCACGTCACCACCGCTAAGCTAAAGGTGGCTAATGTTGGGCTATAAAGGAACTACAGCACGGTCACATGACTTCACGTCACCACCGCTAAGCTAAAGGAGGCTAATGTTGGGCTATAAAGGAACTACAGAACGGTCACATGACTTCAAGTCACCACCGCTAAGCTAAAGGAGGCTAATGTTGGGCTATAAAGGAACTACAGTACGGTCACATGACTTCACGTCACCACCGCTAAGCTAAAGGAGGCTAATGTTGGGCTATAAAGGAACTACAGTACGGTCACATGACTTCACGTCACCACCGCTAAGCTAAAGGCGGCTAATGTTGGGCAATGAAGGAACCACAGCACGGTCGTATGACTTCACGTCACCACCGCTAAGCTAAAGGTGGCTAATGTTGGGCTATAAAGGAACTACAGCACGGTCACATGACTTCACGTCACCACCGCTAAGCTAAAGGAGGCTAATGTTGGGCTATAAAGGAACTACAGCACGGTCACATGACTTCACGTCACCACCGCTAAGCTAAAGGAGGCTAATGTTGGGCTATAAAGGAACTACAGCACGGTCACATGACTTCACGTCACCACCGCTAAGCTAAAGGAGGCTAATGTTGGGCTATAAAGGAACTACAGTACGGTCACATGATATTCCTGCACGACTCGAGTGGTAAGTTTGGAGAGGAAGTCATCAGCCATTTTACAGAACAGTATTTAAGTTTACATGATATTTCTATCTTCTCTATCTACAACATAAAACATTCATGTAGGTAATACCACAGTATAGAAGTACTCTGTTAGGTAAAGTAAAGTAAAACTCCTGCATTCAAAATGTACCTTAGGTAAAACGGTAAAACCAACCAAGGACTGACTTCAAAATAAAAGCGACCAAAAACCGTCCTGTTTGATTGCTGTCCAATGTGCCAAGTCACCAGAACAAAGTGACTCTCTTTCTGGACCTGACAATAAAAGCTTTATTATAACTGAACATATGAAGGATATTTTTATGAGCTCCGTGAGGGTTAATATGTTCTGTACTGAAGAGATATATTTACATTTCAAGCATTCTTTGTTTAAGTGTTCATCAATGTGCATTGTCCCTGTTCAAATAAACGATTAAATGAAAATGACAATGAGATGAAATCAAGTTAAACCAGTTTACCGACAGCTGATGAGGAGTGGCTGGGGTTTGTGGAATGAGACACACCTGTGTGTTAAAGTTGATTAAAGAGTCAAACCAGGAAACAGTTTGTTACTCTTCATCACTACGGAGAGACGAACGGACTGAAAACCAGACGATCAGATTCACCTTCAGACCAAACTAACAACTTCCTCTGAGTTCAGCTACAGGAGAGAAAAGAGGAAACTACAACACTGCTGCTTCAACCTGAGGACCCTCCACCCACTGAAGGTGAGTCTGACTTCAACACCACTCAATACCTGTTGAAACCTGCTTTAAAGGTTTTAGGGGATAGACTCCTTTCCCAATGCCGGTAACCTGATTGTATGAAACATATTTTCTGCGTGGATTAACTGTGAGGGCTCCCTGGCTGTGTTTATTTTTAACGCCAGTGATCATTGAGGAAACAGTTAGGTGTCTGTAATCCTGAGGCTACGCAGAGAGCATACTGTTTATGTAATCAATTATTGTTATCATCGTCCAAGGCAATGTTGGTTTTATTCATCGTTTGTTAACTTCAAGGCGCATCATAAAGCATTGCGCCAGAAAAGAGGTGAACATGTGGGGGTCCACCTGACTGCAATGTCTCCATCACTGCAGATCAAACACATTCCTGACCTGAACATTAAAGTGACTCACAACAATCCTTTTTAAATGAAGGCAAATCCATAAATCAAAGCTTATTCTTTGTGGATCTTGAAGTCCTGCAACACTTAACAGATAAAAGCCCCATTCGATCTGAACTGAACGATATTTACTGGGCTACTTTAGGGTTGAAATGTCCCGTACTGTAGAGATGAAATGAGGTTTAACCAGTTACCGATGAGCTGATGAGGAGTGGCTGGTGTTTGTTGAGTGAGACACACTGTGTGTTAAAGTTAAACAGAGACATACCAGGACACAGTTTGTTATCATTCCAACCATTCAAAGGAGTGTCAGCCTGTTCCAGCAGCTCCTACTCATCACTGAGTACTTTCCTTATATTTAACATTAAGCTGTCTTTGGATCTTTTCTGCTGTAACAATGTAAATGTCCCCTCTGTGGGACTAATAAAGGTATTCTGATTCTGTTCTTCTTCCTCACTTCAGAGAGACGGACTGAAAACCAGACGATCAGATTCACCTTCAGACCAAACTAACAACTTCCTCTGAGTTCAGCTACAGGAGAGAAAAGAGGAAACTACAACACTGCTGCTTCAACCTGAGGACCCTCCACCCCCTGAAGGTGAGTCTGACTCCAACATCACTCAGAGTAGATATCAGTCAGTAGAGGGGGGGGGGGGGCATTATTATAATATTATATATCTTTACTGAACAAGCACCATGCATACAAATTAGGGGTGTAACGGTATCCATATTTGTCCCGAACCGTCACGGTTCGGAAGTCACGGTTCGGACGTCACGGTTCGGCACATGCAGTCACACGACGAATACGCCTGTTTTTATGAGTGGGAAAAAAGTCTGTCACTCAGGGCAGTATCCATTACACTATCCAGGGGGCGGTATTGCGCCTAAAAGCTGTTTGCCAGCCGGCCTTAACCTGTTTAGCCCTGAGCCTGTTTTTCAGGTCTCAGGCTCGAAAATGACATTCCCAGAACAAATGACTATATCTTCTAAAAGGGTTACATTAATAATCTTTGTTCTCAAAGTAATGATAAACCTGTGAGTTGGATGTAGAAGAGTCAGAATCAATATAGATGTTTTTTATTTTAAAGAAAATTCAGATTGAACATGGTAAAAAACTGTAAATTATAGTGTCCGTCCAAAAATTATTTTGTACTAAAAGCTTTAGGAATCCAAAGTACAACATATAATAAGTACCCTGTATCAAGATTGATGCAAAAAAAGTGATATTTGACCTTTTTAGACAGATTTAGCCAAAAGAAACCTCTTCTGGGGCCATTTGGGTGGATGTTCCTTATCTCTGGCCCCCCTTTGTCGATTTTGCTGATTGACATCTCTTTCTGACCGTTAGAGCCAATAGAATCGAAGGGGGATTTCCCCACACACACACACATGGTAACACAAAAAGGTGGGCTCTTTGCGCACATCATTTTGCATGAGTGAAGCTGTCTCTAGCTCTGACTTCTGGAAACGGAAAAGCAGGTTTATTGCTTATGGATTATCAGAAATAATTTCAAATTGACACAGACACATTGGATTAACCTGTGGATTAACTTCAGCAGCGTTTTTATCGTTTTAATGCCATTGAAGACCAGTTTAGACCAGACAACAGCAGACGTGAGCCATGTTAGCGTTTTTAGCTACCTAGCGGATATAAAATATTCATAGTTTATTAAATGAACATGCCCTCAGACACTGTTTCCTGCAAGATGTTGCGGGAGGGCCAACCCGGTATCACGGCAAGACGTGAACATGTGACGATTTACCATGCTGGGAGACGTGAACATGTCACGGTTTCGTCCCCTTCAAACGTGACAGCTACACGGTATTGTTAACCCATGTTAACCAGTGGAGAAATAACCGGAAATACCAAGCAAATGCTACCCCGACGTAATGATTTATTTTTTAATAGTCACACTCGATTACAGCGATTTCCTTGTTGCCCCAGCTGGTCGACTCCTCTTTTAGCAGAAACAAAGGCTACATTAATGTATTAAATCGATGTTAATCCGTGCGTGTGGATGTGGAATTAACGGACGTAACGTTGTGCGATTGAGTTGCCAAGCAACAGCTTCGGTTCATGTTAATTTACTAACTATTCAACTACAACCGTAGTTATATTTAAAAACATGTTAGAAGGCCTCACGAAATACTTTAATGCACATTAAAATGTAAATGTGAAGGAATGTGTGTATAACAAAATACATCGGTCATTAAACGAAACCGGAAACAGACGTAGGCAAGATCCTCAGCTCGATGATTGGATGGTTATCCGCAATGCATGCTGGGATTTGGTGTTTATGTGATGTGAAATCTGAAAACGTTTTTTAAAAATACAATAATACTTTATTCCGAGTGTGCTTGCTTTTCTCTTTGAAAGTCATCACATACCGGCTTTGTAATACACGGTTCGGCTGCATTAAATATTACATATCTGCCGTAGTTCTGTATTTATAGAGCCCTGATGAGAAGACTTCTGGACAAACATGAGGAACTGAAAACGTGACGTGGATCATAAATATATCAGCCATTAAACAACATCTTACATTTATTTTCACACAATACGTCTCCTTGCAGTATCAACACTAATTCGGCTGACTTTTATATTTGATCCAATTGGTAGATAGGCTGTATTTACACTATAATCGTGCAGAGCTGATAGAAAGGGACACCTGGTGGTCAAAGCATGTTATTGAATTGTATTATTTTATTATTAGATATTAATAGGAGGATGTGCAAAACAGACAAACTAATAAGGCTTAATTTAAACATTAAAGAGTACTTTAGGTTCAGGTCTTATTTTGAATAAGAAAAAAGCTTTAAGAAGAATATGGAGGGATGAAACCCTCTTGAAACCGCAGGTCCTTCCTTCCTGCAGCAGTCAGACTTCTGCTTTGACAAGTCTGTCTGCAGACTTGTCAAAGCATTAATTCATGGTTTTTACTAACCGGTATCAGTATGTTGTTTCGTCGGCATCATTTAGAAACGTGTATTACAATTTAATCACGGTAAAATATGTTCATCTTGTTGTAGTTGTAGCTCCGAGCGCGTCTTGTTTGAATGATGCAAGTAAACACAGCTGGCAGCCGCGGTGAAACTCGAGCGACTAGAGCGATGCGATGGGAGCGTTTAGAGCGAAGCGAATATTCGCATCGCGTCCGGTCTGAACGCAGCATTAAAGCGAGCTCCGCGCTGCACTGGAAGAGCGCCATTACATCACCAGAAGTCCTAATTTAAGGGGTCATTTCTCCCACTCACTATATCAACAGCCCCACCAAAAATATTTTCCACCAGCCGCCACTGTTGTGGCTTGATATTGAGTAAGAACATGTTTTTATGAACCCCACAGCTTCCGGTCTTCCAAGACCCGACCGGACAAAAAGACGTGCTGCAGGCACGAAACATGCTACCAATAGAAATGCATTGCTTTTAAAATCGTTCAGTGTGACACGAGAAAAAGGGGAAATCGTGTTGGTGAACACGAATCAATAGATTACATGTCGTGACTATATAACACGAAATGCCGTGAGACTGGGTTGCTCATTCATAGATACAACACCACAGATTTAACTGTTCTTTAATATTGTATTGGTACTGTTACGTGCCGTAGTGGGTGCTGGTGTGTGTGTGTGTGTGTGTGTGTGTGTGTGTGTGTGTGTGTGTGTGTGTGTGTCTTTCTCCTCTCTCCCTCTATATTGTCTCCAGGTGCAGCCTCTCCTCCAGATGCAGCCTCTCCTCCAGGTGCAGCCTCTCCTCCAGGTGCAGCCTCTCCTCCAGGTGCAGCCTCTCCTCCAGGTGCAGCCTCTCCTCCAGGTGCAGCCTCTCCTCCAGGTGCAGCCTCTCCTCCAGGTGCAGCCTCTCCTCCAGGTGCAGCCTCTCCTCCAGGTGCAGCCTCTCCTCCACGTGCAGCTTCTCCTCCAGGTGCAGCCTCTCCTCCAGGTGCAGCTTCTCCTCCAGGTGCAGCCTCCTCCAGGTGCAGCCTCGCCTCCAGGTGCAGCCTTCTCCTCCAGGTGCAGCCTCTCCTCCAGGTGCAGCTTCTCCTCCAGGTGCAGCCTCTCCTCCAGGTGCAGCCTCTCCTCCAGGTGCAGCCTCTCCTCCAGGTGCAGCCTCTCCTCCAGGTGCAGCCTCTCCTCCAGGTGCAGCCTCTCCTCCAGGTGCAGCCTTCTCCTCCAGGTGCAGCCTCTCCTCCACGTGCAGCTTCTCCTCCAGGTGCAGCTCTCCTCCAGGTGCAGCTTCTCCTCCAGGTGCAGCCTCTCCTCCAGGTGCAGCTTCTCCTCCAGGTGCAGCCTCTCCTCCAGGTGCAGCCTCTCCTCCAGGTGCAGCCTCTCCTCCAGGTGCAGCTTCTCCTCCAGGTGCAGCTTCTCCTCCACGTGCAGCTTCTCCTCCAGGTGCAGCCTCTCCTCCAGGTGCAGCCTCTCCTCCAGGTGCAGCTTCTCCTCCAGGTGCAGCCTCTCCTCCAGGTGCAGCCTCTCCTCCAGGTGCAGCCTCTCCTCCAGGTGCAGCCTCTCCTCCAGGTGCAGCCTCTCCTCCAGGTGCAGCTTCTCCCTCCCAGGTGCAGCCTCTCCTCCAGGTGCAGCTTCTCCTCCAGGTGCAGCCTCTCCTCCAGGTGCAGCCTCTCCTCCAGGTGGCAGCTTCTCCTCCAGGTGCAGCCTCTCCTCCAGGTGCAGCCTCTCCTCCAGGTGCAGCCTCTCCTCCAGGTGCAGCTTCTCCTCCAGGTGCAGCCTCTCCTCCAGGTGCAGCCTCTCCTCCAGGTGCAGCTTCTCCTCCAGGTGCAGCCTCTCCTCCAGGTGCAGCCTCTCCTCCAGGTGCAGCTTCTCCTCCAGGTGCAGCCTCTCCTCCAGGTGCAGCCTCTCCCAATCACCAATCAGGGCCTCCATAAAGGACCTGAGAAAAGCTGCAGTCGCTCTCCCCTTCTCCTTTGGCTGCATGGGTGCAGCATGTCTCTGTCTCTGTGTGAGGCCTGTGTTTTATCAATTATTAGGAGTTGTGTTCCTGTATACATCGGTACATTAGTTTACTGCGTAAATTGGCTGGTGAGCCCGTGTTCTTTTTGTCCATTAAAAGACCTGCTCGTGGCTTCAGAGATCAGTACCTCTCTTTGTTCTCGTGCCTGGTCAATTCTGTGTTTTGTTACTCCCCTTCGTACCCCTAGATTTGGAGGGAACGTAACAGGTACGATTTATCTAGGATACTTAAATGATGTTAGAGCGGTCATTTCTGGAACTTTCAATCCCACAGTAACTCGTAAAACCTCATACAAAAATATGTCTATGAAGGGTTTTGCTCAAAATATCAAACACCCATTCTAGCCATGGATGTTTAATAAGAACTGGATACAGCGTGGGAGGAGGGGCCTCGTTCATTCCCATGAGAGTTGCTCATTGGCGCATGAAGACAAAATGGCCCAACTTTTGAGAGCGAAACGTCACGAAAGTATTCATATAATCATATAATCCGTTCTTATTGTGCATCCATGGGTAAAGGTACAACGCATGTAGTACTGAACACGTCACATGAACGTGCCGGGCGGCGCGGTCCCGTGGGTTAGATCCGCGTTCATAATGGCGAGGAAAAGAACTCTCAGAATAACGTTATTAGCAC